AGTTTAGGAAAGCCTTTAAAAGCCAAATAGGATTTTGCATTTGATCCTCAGAAGCGATAGGGAGCCACTGGAGTTTATTGAGTGAGGAGAGGGGGCGATGGGATCAGACTAGGGCTTTAGGAAAATCAGTTTGACAGCTCAGTGGAGGATGGACTGGAGTGCAGAGAGACTTGTGGTGGGCAGGCCCACTAGCAGCTACTTTGACGGTCCAGGAGCGGCATGAGAAAGGAAAAGTGGCTCTTTGCTGGTAAAATACCACAGGCAGGAGCAGAGGGGTGGTTTTGAGCTTCGGGGTTTATAGTACTAGATCAGGTGTCAGGGAATTTAGATCATAGTCTGGCCCCACCACTAACTCCCTTTCTGACCTTGATCTTTCCTCATCACCTGTCATCGGAGAAAGAGGTGATCATCCCCACACAGCTCTGATTCTAGAAGCAGCTTTCTGTGGAAAGAGCTCCGGGCTGGCGATCGGAAGACTTCAGGTCTATCTAACCCGGGCATTTCCCAAGTGTCTGAGCCGGGACAAATCACTTTGTCTCTCTGAGCCTTTTCCCCACCATTAAAAATGAGGCTAATAATCTTTATACTAACTACAGTCGCTACCAATGTTGCCTGAATTTCAAAGCGCCATACTAGAGAAATGTAATGATGACACAGGGCTTTCAGGGAACTTCCCTGGGACTCTGTGTCCTTTGTGAGACAGGAGCATGAGTGCATAGCACCATGTCCATGTGTGGGTCACCGTGGATGTGACATTCCACCAGGGCCATGCTGGTCTGCAGCGTCCCTCCTCATCAGAGCAACTGAAATCCATCTGTCAGAGCATACCAGACTCAGCCCTCCCAGACAGCAGGGACTGGGCTGGGACCTGCTTTAGTCTAGGGCCTCACCCCCAAGGTGGTCTCAGAACTGGCATAGGACCAAGAACAGTTCTGGAAGCTGCCCCATTCCCACCCCGACCCCTGCAGCCATGGAGACATGCATGTGCTAGCAGAGCACATGCATGTGATAATTATGATGTGTGCTGAAGAATCAAATGCTAGGGGTACCAAGAGCCCTGGAGATGGGGAATTCCTCCAGAGCCCAAGTCAGTTCTGGGATTGCTTTGGGGAGCAGACCCAGGACAGAGAGATGTCCCCTGTTGCTGCCCCAGGTGTACAGGGTGACTCAGACTGAAGAGGGGGCTGGGTATTGCTTCCCTCTCTGATCCAGAGTGCCCTGCATCTCCCAGGGGCCACAGCCAGTGACTGGCTTCCCAGGGCTCTGACTTCCTAAAAGGTCAGCCCAAGACCTTTAGAAAAGGGCAGACCTTCTGGGTCACCATAGCTCGAACCTAAGGAATGAGGGGACTGGTCCAGTCCTGAGAGTTAGTGCTATGTGGCTCTGCCTGATACCAATCCCCATTGAGGCTTGGTGAGTTTCCTTCTGGGAATACCTGTTGGAGGGGGCCACCCCCCTCCTCAGCAGCAGAGAGCTGGACAGAATCTTCTGTTTCCTGGTGGCTTACTGTGTGCTAATGAGGAGCCCTTTCATTGATTGATAGGCCAGACTTGACTGTACATACAAAAGGGAGAGGTACAGATGAAAATCCCAGCTTTCTCCTCTCTCTCTCTCCTCTCTCTCTCTCTCTCTCTCTCTCTCTCTCTCTCTCTCTCTCTCTCTCTCTCTCTCTCTCTTTCTTCTCTCCTGCTGCCCTCCCCTCTCCCCCCCTACCCCCCTCTGACTTTAGGGAAGGGGAGTGGCAGAGCCAGGTGCTGTTATGGATAACTTTTCTCTCCGCCGAGGATGCCAGATGGCCATGAACGCATGGCACTCCTGTTTCTGTGTTGTGTTTATTCTTTCCTAATCTTGGGTGAATGTATACCAAAGATGATCAGAACCACCAGATGTCTAGCAACTGGAGTCCATCCCATAGTCTTCCAGTAGCCACAGCAGGTGAGCCTAATGAGAAGCCAGACCTTTAGAAAGCCCTGTTTGTCCCAGCAGTAACTCAACTCAGCAGCTGAGACAGCACATCCTACTGTGCATCACCCCAAAGTGAACTCAGTCGGGTAATTGTTGGTAGTTACCACTTTAAGTTTGAGAGTATTACCCCCCCCAGGGACCCAGGGAGTTGAGGAGCAGGCTCCCAGTTTCAGAGAAGCCTGGACTTTGGTTCTTGCAATGCTTCCTCAGCAAATATTCCTCTGTAAATGCAATGCTAACTGGCAATTGAGAATGGTCACTTGTGAGCCAGTGTCCCCAACCCCTCAAGGTGACCCCTAGAGCCCAGAGGGGAGACATAAGAACTGAGCCAGTCAGAGTGTAAGGGGAGATGGTGAGCCCTGGGCCTGGGGGCTATACCCATGCTCCTCTATTAGCCCTGTGGGTACCCCAGTTCTAGAGTCCCCATTTCAAGTCTTAGGTGCCTTTCTTTAGTCTCCCGAACTGTGTCTAAACTGTCTAAATGGAGGTGACTCCATCCTAATCACTTAAACTATGGATATCTCATTACAGTGGACCTATTTCTTTCTCCCTTTCTCTACCTTCCCTTCAGGACGTCAGACTTCATTAAAGAATAATGTTGCATTTCTGGCATGGACGGGTCAGTGTCAGCACTTGGCTGCAGAGCATCTCTCTGGGATGAGTTCTGATCATAGAAGTAAAGAACACAATCAGACAGGAATGGGCAGAGGTGGGGGGGGCAGGATCCTGACTCTCTCACTGGTCACATGACCCTACAAAAGATTGCAACTCACCCACTCAGAGCGAGGCCCTTCTCTCTCCTCCCTGACTACTGGAGGACACTGCCCAGGCCTGGGCTCCCTACTGCCTGCATGGCCATTCTTCAGGCTCCATGCCCGGCCCCCTAAGGGTCCATTTCCTCAGGGGCCTCCTCCTAGAGGAGAACAATGAGTATTCCCCCTGCTTGCTAGCCCCCTCCCCCATCACTTCATTTTTCTGTGCACAGATGTTGCCACCCCCCACCCAAGGCCGACTCTTTGAAGACAAGGATTCTCTAGCCTTTCACATAGTGGGTGCTTAAATACTTGTTGAATTAGAAAGCACAGAGAGCACTCTCCAGTCCATTGTACACATCTGTCTGTAACGATGCCCAGGGAAGTTGGCAGGCGGCCTATGCGTGTCTTTCCATAGGCTCATATTAAGGCTCCTCCCGCAGTACATGTCCACACTGCCCATATGGTAAAGCAATGAGCTACCAGGTTTGGAAGGTGATGCTTGACCATGAATTAGGTGTAAAGCCTTGGACAGGCCACTGCCCCTCCCTCTGCAGCCACTGCTGCATTTCCCTCATCTCTAAAAGGAGGCCAGTTTAGATGATTTCCAAGTTTCTTCCCAGTTCTGACATCCCCTGTTCTCAGGTCCCTCCCAGCCCTGACATTCCCTATTCTAAGGCCCCTCCCAGCTCTGAGAGTCTACAAGTAACTAGAACTGCCCAGGCTAGGCAATGAATGTAAAGTAATGCTCAGTTACTAAAATTCTTTCCACTTTCTGCCGTTCGGTGAATTTTGCAACCTTGCAGTTCAATTGACTGTTATCTTTTCCTGTTTATACTCAGGATTCAGAGGCTTAACCTGGTTCAGTTCTCACCTCATAGCTGCTAGCCAGAGGTCACTCAGCAGTCACCTGAACTCAGGGAAGCCCTCAGCCCTTTTCAAGATGACTCGGTGGTGTCATTTACTGTGGTCAGGCTCTGCATCACTTCATGGGAAAAGTCGCTATGGTCATCGGGCAAAGTAACAGTGAAAAAGCTAGGGCCTGAAAGCCCGTCCTCCAGTGTCTCCTTGGCCTTCTCTGTCCCAGGCCACCCTGGCTTTGTGAAGAATTGGACTTTCACCTTAAGACAGGACACTGATGAAGTGCCCTTTGAAGTACCTGCCCGCCTAGATTGAGGATTAATAACGTTGCCCCATGGCAGGGAGCATATGTTCTCCACCTCTGGCAAACTAGATTGGATGTGTCCCAGTCCTGAAAATCAGCTAGGTCCCAGAAGGGAGGGCTACAGGGATGCACGAATTTAATCAATTTGAGTGTGGGAAGCCCTGCAGGGGTGACTTTGACTTTTTTTTCTGTGTGTGTGAAACTTTTGGGGATCGTTGGTTATTAATCTGTCCCAACTCAGGGCTGCGAACCACCTCACCCTCTTATTACCGTGAGCAAAGAAAAGGTCGATCGGATCATTGGTTAGAGAAAGGGATGGGACAGCGAGGACCTCCGGCTTCCTGATTTTCCACCCCGACCCATTCGGATCGCGGGCGGTGCCTCCTTGGGCGGGGGACGGGAGGGGTGTGTGTGCGTGTGCGTGTGCGTGTGTGTGTGTGTGTGTGTGTGTGTGTGTGTGTGTGTGTGTGTGTG